GGTTGCACCGAGTGTCTGAGCGCGTCGTCTGGGCGCCGCTCAGGCCTCGCACAGATGCCGGGTTGCAGAGTAAGACCTGGCGTCTGCTGCTTGACCGAGATTCCATCGAGGAGCTATCCAAAGGGCGTTCAGCCCGTTACACTATTCTTAGATTTTTACAATATATGACTATAGAAATATATTAATATATGTAATAAAAAAATAGAGGGAAACTTACCTCTTTTACATAATATTTGGTTTTACATATACTATGAGTGCCTGCTGGATATATTGGTGATTATTCTAAGTGGTAGTCACTTTTAGAGTCCTAAGTATAAATAGCTTAGATCTACCACCTATCCAAATAGCTCCCTAAACTTGTACTATAATATCTCTGGCTATAATTTTATTAGTAAGCAATTTAAAAATAAAGTAGAATAGTAGAATAGATCTTTATGTGAAAGAAAAGACTTTAGCCTATTAGAATTACCTTTAACTTACCCCTATCAGAGCTAGAAACTTGTTCTTTGCTACATCTCTTGTTTTAGCATTTCCTTGAGTATTTACCCCTTCTACTATGCCCCCTTTAGATTGCTAACCTATTAGAGAATACAATATTTCTAAATCTTATATTAGTAACCTCTTTTAGTCTCTCTTTAGCGTATTTACCTCCATTTACATCCATTTTTAGCTTTTTCCTTATTTGAAATAGATTTCTTTTTAGCTGTATTACAGCTATATCCCTCTTCTCTTAATAGGCGTTGTAGGCTTCTTTTTAAGAATTTAACGTCATTTTGAACTAATAGTCTTCTATTGGTCTTTTTTAGACTTCTAGTTAGATCCCTATTAATAACTCTTTTATCTCTCTCTGTTATCCTTTTTCAAGCCCCTATTTTAGCACTTTCTATTTGTTCTTTTTATTTCTTCTTTTTCCTCATTTAGTATAGTGCATTGTAAATAGATCTTAGTTGCTTATCAAGTAATAAACAAATAGCTTTAGTAGAGATATTTGCCTTTAAAACATAGGAACTTTACATTTGAACTTTGAGAATTTCTGAGTTGTAGTGGGGAATTAGAGGATAGAAATTTAGGAGCGAGTAGAGCTAGATATATAGAGAAATATTTATAGTTTGTATTTAGAATATATTTGAATCTTTAAAACGCCTAAAGTTTTATCTATTTTTATAATTTTATATAGATTAGAAACTAGGGTTTGAAAAGAGGTCACGTCACTATCTATATATAGTCTATAATAAATGTTAAAACCAGACTTTTTTATACCTTTAATTCGAAGTTATATAGCAATAGATTATAGAGATTTTCTTTCTCTATAGTCTAGTGTATATATCTCCATCTTTCTGCTTACTAAGCAAAAACTAGGTCTACTACGCTAAACTACTAGTTCCTAGCTTTTTTAAATCTACGCCCCACTTAATTTTAGCTATTTTATTAGTGAAGTTATTTAACTCAAAAAATCTCTATTTTTTGAAGCACTTTTTTTTACTGTCACCCCTCTGTAGCTAAGTAGGATTTGCTTAGGTCAGTAAGAAAAAAGAGAGCTAGGAAATAGCGTACGCAACGTCTAGTCTAATTATCATTATAGTGTATAACGTAGATCTAAAGCGCTTTTGGTATATTTTAATTTACTATTTTAACGCGTCTTGAGTGTTTTTTATAAGTTACTGTAGGTGGTCAGTGCTTGCAACTGTTCAGCGGATGCAACACCCCACCAAAATTGGTGCTCCACCAAAGATGAGGCTATAGAGCCCCATTCAAAAGCTATTATCACAAGATCTTCTAGTAGAGTATTAAGGAAGTAGTAATATATATTTCCGTCTATATATATTTTGCTTGTAACTTTATATTGCGGCCGCAGGTGGTAGTTTTAGTGGAGGGCTTGGCGGGCGGCGGTGCAACTCCATCACGACTCTCGCAGCCCACCACACGACGACGTTTTACTATTTTTATATTCTACAACAATAAAGCTTTTTATTTAGGTATACTTTACTCATCACTAGATTTTTTTATTATTGCAGTAAGCTAATGTTGTTCTTTTTAGGCGCGCGCGGTAGTAAGTTGTGTAGCCTTAGCCTCCCGTTCCTTCTCGCGGGCAACTTTTGCAATTTCCCGCGCCTATTTTGCCTCTATAGCTATTTGTTTCTTATACTAGGCAGCGGCTTCTCGCATCTCTTTTCTCTCTTTTTTTTTAGAGTTTTTCTGCCTCTTCTTCTTGGTGTTGTAGTGTGGGTGGTCAATGCGTGCAACGGGTCAGACAATGCAACACCACCACTAAAATGTCCGCCTATCAAAAATGAGGCTGTAGAGCACCATACAAAAGCTATTATCACGAGATTTTTTAGTGGAGTAGTCTAAATATTTTAAAAAACAATCCTATCTACTTAAATTTCTTTGGCAGTTTGATGTTGCGGCCGCGCATTATTGTTTTGGTAGTAGGCTGCGCAGCCAACAATGCAGATGCACCACCACTTTGGCTGCCTGCATCACCACCACCCTTTAACTTTCTTGACTTTTAAGACGATGAAGCTTTTCGTTTAGGTATATTTTGCTTATCGCGAGCTTTTTTTAAAGTTGTAACTGCGCGATCGCGAGCTTTTTAGGCACGTCTTAACTAGAGTTCTTTGGCCCTCACTTCTCTCTCTTTATCCCTCGCTATTTTCTTTAACTCTTGCGCAGTCCTTGCCTCGTTTATTAATTTTTTTCGTAGAGCTATACTAGCAGCTCGTTCCTGTTGTTTCTCTTTTTTTAGAGTTTTTCAAGCTCTTCTTAGTGTTTTTTTGACGTTCTTGAGCTCTCGCATCTTCTATTGTCCTAGGACTCCACACCACCGCCGGAGTATAATACTGCTTGCTTTGCTGGAGCTCTAGAGGCTTCTTTTGCTTCTTTAGATAATTTTTAATAGCAAGTACTTCTCGTAGATTAGTGTTTTCGTGGTGCAAAATCTTGTTGTTGACCTAGAGTGAAGCAATAGTGTTTTTCACCGCAGAGACTATAACTTTAGCACAACCTATTATAGTTTTGTCTAGAAAATTAGACAGCTCTCTTGCAGTATCCCCATCACTGTGCTCTCCAAGTTCTGGATTAATATCTTGTTATGGTGTTGACTTTTTAAGATATTTAAGCACGGCATTACCATCCTGCAGGTAGACGCCAGTAGCTTAAAAACAGCTTAGTATCTTGTTAGACGTGAACGCCTGTGTCTACGCTGCCTAAAATAACTATAAAAAGTCACTTTTGTGCACCTCTACCAAGCCTTGACTGCGGTGGGACAGACTATTAAGTTCTTCGGTATACGCGCTCGAGAGGGGCTTGAACATGCCAACGTCGAGTGGCTAGAGTTGGTGAGATGAGTGGGGAGGGAGAGTAGCTAGGAGAATCCTTTTAGAGTCACAAAACTCTCGAAAACTTGGAGTCTGATGACTCCTATGACCGTCTAGGATTAGCAACTAATAATCGCGCTTTGCTTTGTCTTTCGTTTAGCGCTAAAACACCTGCTTAAGCTAAGATAG